CCCCTCAGATACAGCACTGAGTTCAGGTCCTCCCTGGCTCTCGGCACATCTCCATGGCATTCCGCTCCAGTTGCCTGTGGAGGTGGCTGGCGTCTGAACTCTCTTGGTGGGCTGTCTTCCCCTCCCCATCTCACTAGGCCCTCTCTTAGCAGTGCACCCTGCCTTCCCTCCCAAGGAAAATGCCTGCACTTGCATCCCTGCCTCAGGGTCTGCCTCTGAGGGAGCCCGAACCAAGACAGAGGAATATTTTCAACAAGGCACAGCGTTGCTTCTGAGATCCTCCCCTCCCTGCCCCTCTGAACTGAGAACCTCTTCAGCAAACCACCAGGAAGTCCTGGCATGCCACCCTCTCTGCACAGGGGCAGTAGACAACACTCGGCTTTTGAGGCAGCTGACCTGGGAAGAACCTCCAGCAATTCCACTCACCAGCGTTGTCACCTCCAATAAGCTACTTAAGGTCTCTGGACTTCGATTTTGTCACTTGTCAAGGAGGAAGCCCTCCTCCTGCTGTGTAATGAGGATTCAAGGAGAGACACATGGACTCACCCTGAACAAACAAGGACACTGAGCAAAACCTCAATTTATGATTTTAAAGATGTCAAGAAGTATTACCTTAATACACATGTCACAAAAATCCTTGTCAGACTCTGTTCTGATTTACTTGCTATGTAGGTCACATAGCAAGTAAATGCCTAAAAAGTACAATTTAATGATCCTTTTGTAAATCTGCTCTTCCCCTGGGCTGGAATGATGTTCTGGAGTTTTAAGTTAGACGAATGCTGGTACCCTACCTAGCTGGAGGAGAGACGTAAATTATGGTACACTGTGGATTCCTGTTTTTTGAGATGGAGTCTTGCTCCGTCACCAGGCTGGAGTGCAGTGGTGCGATCTCAGCTGGCTGCAGTCTCTGCCTCCCAGGTTGAAGTGATTCTCCTGCCTCAGCCTCCCAAGTAGCTGGGACTACAGGTGCTCACGTGGTATACTGTGAAAAGAGCTCTAAGAGATGTCTGTGGTGGGCAGTTGTGGGGTTTGGCTGCGGGATTCCCCACAGGGCAGTTCTGGGACCCTCATTTCTCTCCAGAATCTGCCCCTGCTCACTCCAGACCTTCTGGCCCTCCATGGGTGGCCATGTGACTCAGTCTGGGCCAATCAGAGCTATTGATCCCCTAGCCACAGTGATTGGTTCAAGAACCAGCATGTGACCCACGCTGGACCGATGAGAATCAATTCTGGGACCTTGCGTGGTTACTGGGAGAGAGAAGCTGTCTGCTGAACTTAGGCAGGGTAAAGGCAGGGGCTGCTGGGCGCTCCTTGCGAGTGAAGCCCACATGAAGGAAGGCGGGATGGATAGACAGCTAGAGGCAGGGGCCCAGCGGCACGGTTTAACCCTTCGCCTCAGCTGCCTTGCAAGCCTGTGTCTAACACCTGAACTTTTCTACTACATGAGCCTGTGAATTCTCCTTCTCTTTTTTTCCCCCCAAGCCATTTGCTCCAAGAGTTCATGCCTTATGTAAGGTCTGTACAAGTCACAAAGAAGGCACGGGGAGGAGGTTAGCACTGCGTGAAAGGGACTGGGAAGCCTTCTGGGGAAGGGAGCCTCTGATTTTAGGCTTTGAGGCTTGAAAAGAAGTTTGTTCTTTGGAGACCAAAGCAGGGAAGGGCATTTGAGGCAGAGGAGATCGCACACAAGGGCGTGGAGGTGGAAACTGGCAGTGCTTCTGTGTGGCTGGTGTACCGAAGATGAGGCAGGGGTGTGAGCAGGGGCCAGATCGTGGAGCTTGAATGCTAGGTTAGGAGGCTTTTCTCCTGTGGGAGGCCTGGGCGGGGGTTAGAGGTTTGCGGGGCTAGGTGAGATGGTGGGAGTAGGGGGAGGCAGAAGCCTGAATGTGGTAAGCAGAAGAGAGGGTGAGTCCAGATCTTGCTGGGGCCGTGGAGACTTAATGAATGTCTCCTGCAGAAAGTATCTCCCCATCCCCTGCAAGCAGACATCTTAAGGACTTAATGTCCTAAGATTTCAGCTGGGAATGCGTTCTGTGAACACATGGTAAAGCTGATGTCTGAGGTAACCTGGACAAGCTAATCATCTGGCCCACCTACACGGCCAAATCTAATTAAATATGTGTTCAGCATATATGGGGAAGAGGAGTGATATTGTCTAAGGATGGGGAGAGGAATATGTGAGTAGCAGTTTCGGCCTCTGCTCCACTGCTTGAGCAATTGCACTCAGGTGCCAATCTTGCACCCCTTGCCCACCCCTGTAAGGCAGCGCTGCAGGTACTGAACCACCCTCTTAGAAGTTGCTGGAGTCGCCTGGGCACAGTGGCTCATCCCTGTAATCCCAGCACCTTGGGAGGCCGAGGCAGGCGGATCACAAGGTCAAGAGATCAGACTATCCTGGCCAATATGGTGAAACCCCCTCCTCTATTAAAAATACAAAAATTAGCTGGGCATGGTGGCTCATGCCTGTAGTCCCAGCTACTCAGGAGGCTGAGGTAGGAGAATCGCTTGAACCCAGGAGGCAGAGGTTGCAGTGAGCTGAGATTGCACCACTGCACTCCAGCCTGGTGACAGAGCAAGACTCCATCTCAAAAAAAAAAAAAAAAGAAGAAACTGGGGCCTACCCTCTGTGGAGTTCCCTGTGGAACAGCCTCTTCAAGGGTCTCAACCCCACCTCAGTAGCTTCTCAAAGCTATGCTTTCAAACCCACATGGTTCTCCCAGGGACATTTTAGCAGTGCTTAGACATTGGTGCCTTAGATACCTTCTGACTCTCTGTCCCCTTCCTCTAGTTCAGGGGTCAACAGGAGACCCCTAAAACTCAGGGACTGGCACCAAAATGCTGAGTGGGTTGCCTGAGGCCACAGAGCCTGGAGTTGACCTCAGCTCCTTCTGACACAATGTGTGGTCTGGGACCAGCACTAACATCGCTGGGAATATTATTAGAAATGCAGAATCCTGGGCCCCACCCCAGACCTACTGAGTCAGAATCTGCATTTTAACAAATCTCCAAGTGACCCATATGCACACTGAAGCTTAAAAAGTAGTGCTGCTGGCCAAACAAAAAGAAGAAAAATGCCAAAAAACTAACTTTGGTTGGATTGAAACAAGGAAATTAGAAAGAGTTATTGTTTCTCTTCTACACATTCCAAAATGTGGTTATATTACTTCTGTAATGAAAAAAAAATAAACGCTTAAAATTTAAGAAAATCTGAGACACAAAATTACACAATGTCATAAAACTAGTAAATTATGAAGTGGTTATTTGCATTTAAAAGCAGGTCCCATTTACAGTCTGTTATTGCTTCTTGCTTTAATTGTTCTTTCTTGCTTTCTTATTTCTCCTCCTTTCCTCTCTTCCTCCCCCACCTTCATCCTTTCTTCTAAAAGTGCCCCAAAGACAGAAGCAGAGGTGCTTCTGAAGGCAGGCTCGGGCCTTGCCCCCTTGGGAATGGCTGGTGCAGGGAAGGGCATCTTCTGTCTGCAAAGGGAGCATATTATAATACAGGTCTTACCAAAAGTGAATGGGGTGAATATTTCCATGTTTACTGAAATAAAAAACAACAAATGATTTAAGTGTTAAGTGTGATTTGTGCCTTACCTTTTCTCCCTGGTGATCTCCTTTCGTTAATTCTTTTTCTGTCTACACAGGATGAAGGTCCCTTCCGTTTCCCAAATTTCTCAAGGTTTTTAAGCCCCCAAACTGCTGACTTCAGACTTGGCCTCTTTGCCTAGTTTACTCTTACTTGTCCTTCAGCCCTCGGTATGAATGTCACTTCTCAGGGAAGCTTTCCAAAACCCTTTAGTCCTGTATCAGGCAGAGCTCTTGATTGCAAGTGGTAGAAAAACAAACTTAAAGTGTCTGAAGTCAAAAAGGGGTGACTGTTGGTTCAGATAATGGAAAAGCCCAGCTAGTATCTGGCTTCAGGTATAGTTAGATCTAGGATCTCAAATGACATTGCCAGAAACTGCTTAATGACAAATCTCTCACCTTTCCTCTGTGAGGTGCCAGGCTTAAGCAAGCTCTCCCCTGGGGCTCCTATGGAAGCTCCAGATATTTGAGCTTCCGGCTTAGAAACCCCAGTTGAGAGAGAACAACCCTCTTCCAGTTGTCCCTGCAAAAGTGCCAGAGTTGAATCTCATTGGCCTGACTTAGGTCACATGCATATCTTTGACCAGTCATTGGAGTGGTAAGGGAATGGAGCGTTCCCATGAGCTGGGGTCATGTGCCCACCCTAAACTCCTCCCCATCTGAGTTACATGGACTGATGGAAGGAAAAAGTATGTCCCTGAAGGAAAATTAAGAAGATGAGGTCATGAGGCTGAGTGGGCAATACAACAGCAGTTAACAACAGACCTCCGGTTACAAGGTTTCATAGTACCCTGTAATTTGTCTTTGTAACATTTATTGGCTTTTAAAAACTATGTAGTAATTTGAGTGGTTCCTTGATTAGTGTCTGTCTCCACTGAGATTGAAACCCTAAGAGTAGAGATTATGTGTGCTCACAGATAACAGTATCCACGATGTCAGACACAAAGTAGGTGTCCATGAAATATTTACTGAATGAGTGGACTCACTCCAACTGCTTTAACAACAGCTCTGTTTACTCACATTTACTAGGGACGATCTGGAATGCTGGCAATCGGCCTCTCCATTTTAAATCAGATTTAACCACTGACATAGCCAGAACCTCTGTCCCAGCTGTGCCCTGGGACAATCTGTACCAAGGAAATGCTGTTCTGCCAAACTGGGGACATCTGCCACATAGCTGATGGCAACTAGAAACTTGTCAGGAAGTACAGCCCCTGGGGTGGGTTGGCAGCAGACAGGGTGAGGGGAGGGGGAGATTTTGGATTCTTCTGCACTGTAGTGCCTGGCATCTGAAAGAAGGCTGTCTCCAGCCTCACAGCTTCCCTGTATGGTAGTGTGATTGCATTTGTTTATTTTAGGGAAGAAAGCGAGGTTTGGAGCAGCACACAGTTCTCCCAGCTTATAGCCGGTAGAGCCAGTACTTGAATATAAGTCTTTCAGACCAACTGAGGTTCAAACCCAGGCTCTGCCATCAGCTTGCTATGTGACCTTCAGCAAGTGTCTACTTCTGGGAACCTCAGTCTCCTCATCTGTGAAATGAGCCTGGTTATTCTTACCTGAAGAAAGTGCTTGGGATGGTATCAGCTCTGTGCAGCATGCAGAAGCCCTGGGCATGCAGTAAACACTTGCCTTCCTCCCTTTTGTAGAGATCGTTCCAGCTAATGCCTCCCTGGCAGTAACTGAAACAAAGAAGTAAGCTAATGGGGAATGATGCCTGGGGATTTCTTTGCATTCAACTAGAAAATGAATGACCACACCTGACCATGGGACACACATGTCACTCAGGACACAGTCCAGAAAGCATCCTGCCTAAGGGTGGCGCCAGGCCCTTCCCATCCCAGAGTCTTCGCAGTAGTCAGAGAGCTGATTGTGTTTGGTCACCAGATGACCACTGAGGTCCAGGAGATGAGAACCACACTTGCATTGCAATGTGAGCCTAGAGACTCATGCCCATAGATGCTAACGCTGCTTATAACAACAGCTCCGTGGGCAAAGCCCGGGGTGCCTGCAAGGTACATACCCAGTTACAAGAGTCACTGCACATGGGAAAGCCAAGCATTATGACGTCTCCATCAGACACTTGTCATTCCTTCGTGGTCCTCCCAGTTCAGACCTAATTCACCAATCAAGGGTCATTTTAATATAAACAGTATTGCCTGGCAACACAGCTGACATTCAACCTCTATGTGGTTCTAGGATTGACAGAGCTGGTAAGTTAACCCAAGGTCAAATTTATTCTTAAAAGGAGAAAGCGTTTCTTAACCGTTTATCCACAAATATTTACTGATGGCCTCCCTTCACCACATGTGTGAGTACACGTGCATGTGCATGCATGTACACACACACAGACACACACACACACCTGCCCTTTCCTTGAATCCTTTGTTCTCTCTCCATCTCCTAGTGGCATTCATTGTTTCAGAGAAAGAATGAAAGGCAGAAACATGACAGGTAGGAGGGCAGAAATCTTTGAGTTTCAAAAGCCAAGATTTTTGAGTTTCAAATGCCAGAACTTTGAATTCCAAGACCAAGATTTTCCTGTGTCTGGCCTTTTGGGTTTTGGAATCCAATCCCTGAGCCAGAGTATAGGCTCACATTCTAATCAATAGACTTGGAAAGAACAGATGAAGAACTAGGCGACCTGGACCTCAGAATATCGAACAGTTTCCCACCTGAGGAAGGGAGGATGGGGTGGCCATGATGAGCAGTGTCAGTGGGGTCCAGGCAAGGGGCCTGGGCCTGTGGGGTCCTGGCTGTCCTTGTTAGCCCCCAGTGAGGACCATTGCTCAGGGGCAGCAGGAAGGACTCCAGCTGTGTCCTGGATTGTTCTCAGCTGCATTGGAGTCACCTTGTGTGTGCACCCCTACCCGTCTTCTACTCCGGCTGAGCCTGGAGCCTGGCAGGGTGCTAAGGGAAGCACGGGATCCCACACTTGGGTGCTTCTGAGCACAACTCGCCTGCAGTCTCCCCTCCTTAGTGGGGAACCCTAGCCCCTGCTCCTGGACTCCCACACTTCAGGATGATGCAGGCAGATGAGGCCCAGTGGTGGTGTGTGTAAGGGAGGGAGACAGGAGGTCCTGAGGGAGAACTGCTGATTTAATTTCTTTTTCTTTTCTTTACTTTCCCTTTTTTTTTTTTTTTTTTTTTTGAGACAGAGTCTCGCTTTGTTGCCCAGGCTGGAGTGCAGTGGTGTGATCTGATCTCAGCTCACTGCAACCTCCACTTCCTGGGTTCAAGCGATTCTCCTGCCTCAGCCTCCTGAGTAGCTGGGATTACAGGTGTGTGCCACTCCATCTAGCTAATTTTCATTTTTTTAGTAGAGACGGGGTTTCATCATACAGGCCAGGCTGGTCTTGAACTCCTAACCTCCAGTGATCCACCCACTTCAGCGTCCCAAAGTGCTGGGATTAGAGGTGTGAGCCACCACGCCAGGTCTGCTGATTTGATTTCAAATTGAAATTCAAAGAACATGGGCTTTGGAGTCAGCACTGTCAGGGTCTGAAACCCCATTTTCCTGTAGGATTCAGGGCAAGGTCATTAATTCATTCAAAACATGATCTTTGAGGGCTTATCTCTCTGAGCACAGGTTCTGAGGTCAAGCTGCCTGGGATTCCCAGTTCTGTTCCTTCCTGGGGCAAATTATTTCTTCCCCTGTGCCTTGGTTTCTTCATCTATAAAATGGTATTGACAAAATCAATACCCACTTCTTACAGTCATTTTGAAGCTTAAAGGCATTAGTAATATCTAAAGAACTCACAAAGTGCCCTGCGCCTAGCAAATACTCCATAAATGTTATGTACTACTTCTAGGTGTCAGACTCTTTTCTATGCAACAGGGGTATTTTTTGTTTTCTATGCAACAGGGGTATGTTTTGTTCAACAGGAGTGAACAAAACAAAAAATCAGTGTCATGGAGCTTGTGTTCTAAGGAGGGAGACAGATTATATCAGACCAAATCTAGTATCTTTCTTTGGAAGAAAGAAACAGGCTAAGGCTCATGCAGTTCCTTTACTCTGAGCACTGGCCCCTCTGGGGTGAATGAGGGAACCCATGCACCTGTGTTGAGCACAGGCCTGGCATTTAGTTGATGCTCACTAACCGTGTCCCCTTCCCCTCTGCCTGCTGTCCTGCACAGCTGCTCACGTGACGAGCCAGGACCTGCCTCCTCCCCAGCTGTAGAGCCTTGGCCATCAGGAGTGACAGGAGAATCAATAGAACCGCAGATATTCAAGAAATTCCCAGAAGCGGGTTCCCACCAACCAGATGTTCCCACGCCTTTCTCAGACAGATTAGTGTCCTAGCAACTGGAAAACGGAAAACGAAGTCTGTTTTTTCTCTGGGAATAGAATGGACAAAATACATTTGTGTAAGTTCAACCTTCCGGTAAAGCCCCAGGCAGGAAACACATTTGTTGATGCGAGCATTCAGTTCAAGACCCCCTTTCATCACCATCATGTTGACCAGGTCAATTTCCTGCTTCAAGAGCCCTCAATGGCTCCCTGTTATCCTTCAGAGAAAAGAGGACTCGATTTTCTACACCAAACCTGTTCCCTTGCTATCCTCCTGACCCTTCCTCATCTGATGCAGGGTGCCCCGATCACCCAGAACCCTGAGAGTCTTCTTGACTCCTCCTGTGCTGTCCGTCTCACGTACAGACCATCCGTGTGTGTCTGTTCCCTTCTCCATCAGTTATCTGGCCTGACAAGGCTGCTGTGTAACAAGCAACTACAACCCTTAGTGTATGCAGCAATATGCATCGGTTCATGTATCTGGGGTCAGCTAGACAGCTCTGCTCATCTCTGCAGGGCTTGCACATGTGTCTGGGGTTTGGCTGGCTGTGGGATGATGTAGGTTAGCCTTGGCCTGGGGCAACTCTACATGTCTCTTCTCTCTCACCAGACTAGCACCACGGCCAGTGATGGCAGAGGCACAAGAGCCAGTCTGCCCCCAAGGGCACAGGCCCATCTCAGTCTCTGCTGATGCCACACCTGCTGGTATTTTATTGATCAAGCAAATCATGAGGCCAAGCCCAGCATGGAATGTGGTTGTTACAGAGTTAAATGGTAAGGAGGAGGCTGCAGGGGGTGAAGAATGAAGACTGCTGGGTGTAATCTCCCCCACTAGCTCTACATTCCCAAGCCATGGCCTCACCCCAGGCCACCGCCAGCTCAACTCTAGACTGCACCCAACCTCTGACTTCCATCCCACTTTCATCCCCCTTCCAGGCCATTCCCCACCCAGAATCCAAGGCAACTTTTAGAAATGTAAATCTGACTGTGGCAGATTAAAATCCTGCTTAAAATCCTTCCATGCTTTCTGTTGCTCTTGGAATGAAATTCACACTTCTTACTGGGACCTAGAAGGCCCTTGGGATTGGTCCCTGCCATTTTTCCCAACTTCAATTCTGACCACTGTGTGATTCCTGCTGAATCTTCCAGCCATGGGGTCCTCACTTAGTAATGAGCTAAGGTGTCTCCTCACTCAGGGCTTCTGTCCTTGAACATTCACTGGGCCCGGGCGCTCTTTTCTTACCCCACTCATGATCGCCTCCCCCTCCACTTAAATTGGCTGAACTGCCACCTCCTCAGTGAGGCCTTCTCTGATTACCCTTGCTGTAGGCAATTCCACTTCGTCTCTGCCACATCCCCTTTTTGTTTTGTCCTCACCTCCCATTTGTTCATATGGTCTGGGATCAGCTATTCCACATAGTCATAAGCTTTTCCCCCATTTTCTTCCCTGCTTTCTGCTAGAATGGAAGCCCCATGGGGGTAAGATTTTGCGCATCTTGTTCACCCTTATGCCCTGTCCTGTCACATAGAAGCTGGTCATTGTGGATGAAGAACTAAAGTACATGTTTCTTATTCCAGCACTCAAGGTGCTTACTATCCTGTTCCTGCAAAGACACCAGGAAGGGTAGGGGAGAGGGGAAAAAACAGCATGGGTCTGGCCTGTCCAGGGGGATGGGGACTTGTATACAGGACAGCAGCTCGGGAGTCCGTAGAGACACATTCCCCAGCGCCACCTTCTAGAGTGGCTAGCAAGTACAGCCATTTGTGAGCCCCAGTCAAGCCCCAGGGGACATCCATTCCACACATTTTTCATGAACACCTTACTCTATGCTGGGAACCAGGCTAGGTCTTTGGGGACCTGAGGTTCTTTAGGGAGGAGATTCTTCTCCTTCATCCAGTAAACACTTTGCAGCTCTTCTGCCCCACCCCAATGACAGGTGCTGAGAACATCCTTGGAGAGTTTTCTTGCCAGTGCTGTCTCAAGCTGACCCATCTACCTGCGTCTTCCTGCCCATTGCTGGCCCCTTGCACCTTGGAAGCAGGGACCTCATCTAAGACATCCTGGCACCTGTAGCCTGGCACACAGCATGGAGCTGGATAATGGGGCACTGATGAAGACTGAAGTGGATCCAGGGTCATCTGTGAATGATCACATGACTGACAGTGTGCTCATTAGCATACAGTGTGACAAGGCTGCCCCCGGGGAGAAAACCAGCTCAGGTATGAGGAAAGTGCTTGGCACATAGTAGGTGCCAAATCAACTTTTAATGTCCCCGCCTTGTAAGCCCCTCCCCCCACCTCTCACAACCCAGTCCTGCCGTCTCCTCTGTGGAACCTGCCCTTTCTCTCCGGTTGTAGTGGATACCGTGGTGCCCCACCTAGATCCCCATGCCCGATCCTGC